AGTCTACATCTACATCTACATAGTTCCAGCACTTGGCAACGTTCATTGGGTTACTAGCTGTATATTAGTATGAGGTCTCATTGACTAGTAACCTTTATACGAACACTACGCCAAGCCGACCTCAATGCTGGTGAGATGAGCCCTGGCCACACCACCGGGAACCCTGTGCCCTACTCTTAGTCGAATAGTGGTGTGGGTTCTTTAACGTCCCTCTGATGCTAATGAGAAGTGTAGAGAGACGGGACCTCCGATTTAACGTCGTTATCCGAGAGGACGTGAAGATCTTACCATTTGCAGATGGTGGAACAAAGGCAGCAACTTCTACTCAATTATTTTAAAATCCTGAGTATTGGTCCGAGACCCTGAGCATAACGTACCTGACTACACGTACTTAACTACGTACTCGGCTACACGTTCGTTCTATACGTACTCGACTACATATACAAGTAAGATACTACGGTACTAGGCTACTCGTGGCGTAACTGCGTAATTGACTATACGTACTTGCCTACGTTGCCTACGTACCTATCTACATACGTAAATACGTACTTAACTACGTACTTTTCTACGTACATGTCTACTCACGTCATCCTGGACACTGAAATGATCACTGATTTCAAGGTTGAATGCCCAGTCGTTATGTTGCAAGTGGTTTTGTAGGTTTTGACTTTCTTACTTACATTTGCATACGAAGGCCAATTGCGTTGTCCTGTCACTTTGTTGTAGTAATACAGAGTCTGTCCTGATTTACACTTGCATTCTATCCATTTAGTATCCATCTTGTTTGTAAATATAACAAATAAAGTCTTCACTAACGCTACGAACTCTTCAAAGCACACTGTGAAGTTTCAAGGCTGATTTTTGACGTTCAAAGCGTATTACCGCCGGACAAAGGCTTTACGAAATACCAAGCATGAAGATATGCAGTCGTTACAATAGCACTGATGAGAATTTGAATTTTCTTTGTTATTCCCAACGGTTTCAACTCAATTCTTGTCACAGGAATCTGAGCCCAGGCTAGCAAATTAGGAAATTAATCATTACAGCTTTTTCTTTTTTCCTTTTCTTTTCTTAATAAAAACATATTTTTAGTAAATAACATCATTTCTTTATAACAAAAAAAAGAAGAAGAAACTGCAGCCTCTCAATGTCCTCAATGCACGGTTCATCCTAAACGCCGCCCGTTAAACTAACAAGTTTGTCACGTGGTATAAGCGAATAAAATACGCGTTTTTCACGTTCATAGCAAACAAAGTTGCCAACAGCCTGTCATGCGCAGTATGGCGCGTTTTGGGAGTCAAAATTTAAATTGTGTATTCGCAGCATTATGACTAGTGAAATGACATGTCTTCCTGCATGAATACTTTTTTACTTTTACTCCCCTGGAACAAGGTCGCAGTTACCAATAAATCTGTGCGAGTGTAACCCAAGAAAACATGCGCGTCGGAGAGTGGACCAAATAAGGTGGAAATTTTTCTCGGCTTGCTCAACAAAACAATAGGCAATCGACGGATTAATTTAAAGTAGAAAAAATCCCAAATTTCCTGAAAAAGTTAATGAGTCTCGGCATGAATGTAATGATTTTGAGGAGTAAAACTGGAAACAAATTAAGCCATTCTCTAGTGTCCTTGTCTAAATTGTGAGCGTGTGCAGCTCACCGAAACAAAAGTGACTGGTCACGAAAAGAAGCAGAAGTCTTAGTTTAGAATTTAGCAGGCAGGTAATTCCGTAAACAACACAATCAAGACATTTGTTAGCACCTTTGCCACTAAACGAGAAAAGAGATTTTTTAAAAGAGTTCTCGATTATCGTACAAATATGTACGATTGGGAGTTAAAGTGAGTTAAAGGGTTAAACACAAAGTAGACGCTCTTGGAGCATGAAGGCGGGCTGGCTATTTTGGAAAATTGGAAGACAGGATATTACATGGTTGAGCGGATACGCGAACCTGTAAAAGATTTTCAACACGATTAGATAAAATTCGTATCTCCAAGCGACCATGTAATATTTTGTCTATATCATATGATTATATATGAAAGTAAATTATGGTGTATTAACTTTTATACAACTTTTCARTAAAATCAGACGTTTTGATTGGTTGGCTTTCGTGTGTTATCAAAGTATAGATACACGGATTACGTCAAAACTAATTGTTTGTTGTATAAAACAGATAGATCTCATTTTTCCGTGCGTGTGTCCTCTAATAGATACACAGATGACGTCAAAATGTAGTGAGAACAACAGTCACGCACTCGACTGCGTCTCGTGCGTACTTTTTTGTTCTCACTACATTTTGACGTCATCTGTGTATCTATTAGAGGACACACGCACGGAAAAATGAGATCTATTTGTTAACTAATATATGGTACCACTAGGCAGCCTATGGCTAGACAGACTAAATAACAGAAAATCTCGCTAAACCTTTTAAGTTTTTAGAAATTGCAGCTTCAGACAGTTTTTTACGTAACAAACAGTAATACTTTTCTAATATTCTCCCAATTGTACAGTTTTTATTATCTTTTCATTTTTATCCGACATTGCGCTTGTTGCTTAAAAAAGTTAAATCAACTTATTAAAAAATAGACATAAAGAGAGTATCGCTATATAAAAAATAATGAAAAACAGATTCATTGATAGTGAAAAGGTCATGGTTTTCCAACCTCGTCCCCAGGGTCTCTCGGCTCGCTCTTTTTTCAAAATGGCGTCGCACGAGCGTCCGCCATTTTGCGAGTAGAGAAGACCCTGGGAACGAGGTTGATGGTTTTCAATATCTTAATCATTGTGTGCTGTCCTTGTAGTAAGTTTTCAAATGACGCTGTAAAGAACTCTTATGTGTAAATTTCTGTTCACAGTCATGGCCAGAAAATCCGGACATTTGAGCCCGCAATCGCAGCGGTACTTCGCATAAATGCATAAAAACATGTTTGTAAATTTTACAAAGAAATGTATGGATCAAAAAAAAATATTTGAGAATAACATTTCATCTGTTTCAACTGGAAAGATTCCATAGATGAATTCGTAGAGGGAAAGTATTCTTGATTCCACTGAAGGAAATCCAAATAAATCCAATATGTTAACAGCGTCCTTTTTGACAATTTATTTTCCTTTCGTCGTCTCCCTTTGGCCTTGTATCTCATGGTGAAAATTCGCGAAGAAGCGAAATTTCACCGTAGCTGATCGTGTTCCTTTACATGTCACTGATATTCCATAGATCATTTGATCAAAGTCCACATATTGAGGTACGAACACAGCGATTTTCAGCTATTTTGAAGACAATCAACAGCGTCCTTTTTGGTACTAAAAATCGTACAATTTGAAAACACTAACTTGACGCTGAAATGGCTGACGAAGACGCGTGTTTCACGCGAATACTTGACCTGATCTTCCATTTAATTATCCATGTTTGGTACCAAAATAAACCTTAGAAACATGGCTTTCAGACTGGGCGCGCTGCTTTAATTTTGGAGGTTTTTACTGGCGCCTTGCGCGCACTGGTAAATAGCGGGAAATACGAACGAAAGATCAAGTCTACGCTATTTAGTGTAAACAATGTCAGACCTTTGAAATTCCTTAGAAATGTAAAAGTATAAACAAAAGATCACAATATCAACTGATGATCATTGTTTAAAATACCTGAGGGAAACGTGTGTTCCAGCAAATAATATTATTTACACTATGAACATTCCAAACAAGCACCTCACAAGCCACTAATGAACTCAAGGATCAGGGTGTGCTATCCCAATAAACAAGGGGCCGTTTGGCGTGCGCATGCGCCAGTTTGTTGAAAATTCATTGAAATTCATTAGTGATTCACTTCAAGCGAGAAATTACAACGACACGAAGGACAATTTCCAAAAATGTTTTTGGCTGTTTTTGACCCTGAAATGTTCTGTCATGACTCAAGAACACCCATAAATAGTGTAACCTACAACGAGGAAAAACACTGGCGTCATTGGACTGATTGGGACCGTTTAAAATCTTATTTAAGAAATGTTGATATTAATGACTTTGTGTTTACAATATGGAGGCTTCAGTGGTTTATATACGCAACTACTATTCCAGTTTTTGCTGAGTGATGGTCAAGATTCAACGCAGGTTATGAAGTAAATGGTAAATGTACACATGTAGTAATATAATTAGGCATCGTTTANTGTATCATTATAAGTTATGAAATAAACTATTGCAGTGCAATCGATTCACATCTTAGGAATTTATTATTGCTAAAGGTGTACACAAATAATTCACTACATTTTAACGGTACAAAGTGGCTTCGTGTTATAAATCTAGCCCGGGACTCACAGTAATTTATATAAAGTTTGAAAGATATTCGTGTGCATTGCAAATATATCTACTTGGTTTTGTTTGGAAAAATGTGGAAGATAAGTAAAAACTTCAATTATGTTCAGAATCGAAGCTTCTGCAGCTGACTACAATGTTATTCTACCCGTATTCTAGAGCCCATGGTCGTTATAACGCAGCGGTTGCGCGCATGCTCATGCATAACGGCCCCTTGTTGCCCAGTATTGTATTAAGATAAAGGATCGTTGCAGAAGAGTAGAAAATTTGATCTTCAAAAGTTCAAACCTCAAGGGAACTCGTAGAAAGCTCTATTTTGGTGGGAAAACCCACTGACTCGTAATGGGCTCAAATGTCCGGAATTTCTGGCCATGAAGAACATTCAGAGGGCTTCTCGCCAGTGTGTAATGGTAGATGAAAGGTTAAACTAACCTTCTGTGAAAACGTCTTTTTACAATAAGAACATTCAAAGGGTTTCTCTCCAGTATGTATTCTTAAGTGACAGATCAAATTAGCCTTCCGTGAAAACTCCTTTTTGCAGTAGGAACATTCAAATGGTTTCTCTCCAGTGTGTACTCTTAAATGACGTGTCAAATTTCCTTTATTTGAAAACTCCTTTTTGCAGTAAGAACATTCAAATGGTTTCTCTCCAGTATGTGTTCTTAAGTGATGTGTTAAACCTTCTCCGCTGACAAATTCTTTTTTGCAATAAGAACATTCAAATAGCTTCTCTCTAGTATGCAATCTGATTTGTCGACCTAAAGTGTCTTCTCTGGCAAATATCTTTTCGCAGTAAGAACATTGAAAGTGCTTCCTTTCTGTGTGTATTTGTAAGTGACTGGTTAAGTGACCTTTTTGCGTAAATTTCTTTTTGCAGTAAGAACATTCATAAGGTTTCTCTCCAGTGTGCGTATATAGGTGATCTCTTAAAGTGGTCTTACGGGCAAACCTTTTTTGGCAATAAGAACATTCAAATGCTTTCTCTCCAATGTGCAATTTTACGTGACTTTACAAATTCGACGTTTGTTTAAATTTCATTTTGCAGTAAGAACATTCATAAGGTTTCTCTCCAGTGTGTATTCTCATATGAACATTCAAATTGCATTTTGAACTGAATTTCTTGTTACAATAAGAACAATTGAAAAGTTTTTCTATCTCTTTGCAAGGTGACCATTTCACAAGTTTCTCCTTCTGCCCATGGTCAGGAATAGAGATATCTTCTGTTTTATTATTATTGTCACTTGTGAACTTTACTAAGTGTTCAGTGCCTGTATTTCCATCTCCTCCCTGAATTTCACTTTCCATATTCTCATCACTATCTTTATTGTTGACATATTTATCTGTTGTTTCATTGTTGTTATCACTTGTAATCTCTACCAAATGTTCAGTGTCATTTCCATCAGTTATTTCCTCAAGAACTTTCAACATTGCATCAATAATTCCATCTCCATCTATGCTACTGTCTTCTTCATCTTTAACATCTTTTACATGGAAAACAAATGTATTTTGTTGAGGTGCTTTCTGTGCTTTGCCCTAAACTGGAAGGACAACCAATATCTGTCTGTGTACACAAGTCTTTGTTGATGACTGGCTGGCTGTTCACGCTCTTCTTGTCTTCTGTTAATGAACACTGAAACGAATTATTGAGCAATTGACAAACTTTTGACAAACTAAAGAATCTGCTGAGACCTCATGCTAGTCTGCGTTCATTCGAACCAATGCAGTTTTGGTTGGGCTGAACGCAGGTTGTTGTTGTTGTTTTTGCATTTTACGTCCGGAACACTATATTTAAAAATCATTTACACCCTTGACTTTTTGGATTTGGTGCTTCTTAACTACTTGTCTACGCACTTGTCTACGTACTTTGCTACGTACTTTGCTACTTACTTGGCTATCTACTTGTCTACGTACTTGACTACACGAACTTAACTACTAAACGGATACACGTGCGTAACTACTTTCTCGACTACACATACGCTTACGTAACTACGTACTCGGCTATATGAGCTTGGCTACGCACTTAACTCATACGTAACTATTTACTTTACTATACGTACTTGGCTAAGTAGCAGCGTACGTAACTACGTACTTGACTATACAAAGTTTTCTACGTACATGGCTACTCACGTCATCCTGGACACTGAAATGATCACTGATTTCAAGGTTGAATGCCCAGTTGTTATGTTGAAAGTGGTTTTGACTTTCTTACTTACATTTGCATACGAAGGCCACTTGCGTTTTCCTGTCACTTTGTTGTAGTAATACAGAGTCTGTCCTGATTTACACTTGTATTCTATCCATTTAGTATCCATCTTGTTTCTAAAATATGAAAAATGAAGTCTTCAAATAGAGTGAAATCATAAAATAACGCTACGAACTCTTCAAAGCACACTGTCAAGTTTCAAGGCTGATTTTTGACGTTAAAAGCGTATTACCGCCGGACAAAGGCWTTACSAAATACCAAGCATGAAGAAATGCAGTCGTTACAATAGTACTGATGAGAATTTGCATTTTCTCTGAATTAATACTCATCCTGTATTCCCAAAGGGTCATGCACGGCTGAATTCTTGTCAGAGGGAGCCCAGACTAGCATATTAGGAAATTGATAATCACTTGTGTTCTTTTTCTGTTTTCTTTTCTTTTCTTCATAAAAAAATCTTCTTTTTAGTCATAACATTATTCCTTTATAACAAAAAAAAAGAATAAAAAAG